AATTTACTTAAGAATAGCGACTGTCTCTAGTGGGTGTCCTCGACTGGCAACGGCGCCAACTGTTTCACATTGCGCATGTAAACACCGGTAGATGTTCGAACGGAAACGGCCCGGATGATGTTGTCTTCCCTTGGATGAATCTTCTCGATGCGACCCAGGTGCCACTGGAGCGGTGGANATGAATCTTCTCGATGCGACCCAGGTGCCACTGGAGCGGTGGAAGATTGTCGTCTTTTAGAACGACGATGGTGCCTTCTCGGATGTCATGGGAGCCCTGGCTCCACCTTTGTCGTACGTTAAGGTGGTTGATATACTCCTTATGCCACCGAGTCCAAAAGTCTTGCTTGACCTTTTGGATGTGCTGAAGAAGTGACCAGGTGTTAAGGCTAACGGATCTTGAGGATCTGAGGATAGGGGAGTTAAAGGGCGAGAATTCAAAATCGCTTCGACCTCAGTGATGAATGTATTGAATTGCTCGAACGTGAACAATTCATCCCCAACGACTCGCTTGACATGGTGTTTAAAGGATTTCACCGCGGCTTCCCATATCCCGCCGAAGTGTGGTGAAAGGGCAGGCATGAAGTGCCATGTAATTCCCTTGCCCGCGAGAAAATTTCCTACCCTATCGTTCTTTTTCAAGATTCCTTGGAGTTCCCGTAATTCATTGTTAGCTCCCACGAAATTAGAGCCGTTATCGGAATAAATGTTGCGGCATATGCCTCGACGCGCGATGAGACGTTTTAATGCCGCGATAAACGCTTCGGTCGTCATATCGCTCGCAACCTCCAGATGAACGGCCTTGGTAGCCAGACATATGAATACGGCAACGTAAATTTTTAATTTGGTGCCATTGCGGAAGCGCCGTTCCTTGATATAAAAGGGACCGCAATAATCTACACCGCAGTTGTAGAAGGGCCGCGTTTCGGTAACTCGGGAGGCAGGTAGATTTCCCATGATGTATTCGGGTGTAGGCGGATTCACCCTGAAACACCTGACGCATTGTCGCACGATTTTGCGAGTCGTATTCTTTCCGTCGATCGGCCAGTATTTCTGTCGCACGGCATATAAGGTTGTGGTAATGCCGGCGTGGTGATTGCTCACATGTTTGTCGCGAACGATCAGATTTGTGATATGGTGACCTTGGAAAGCAAAATCGGATATTTTTGGTCATATTGTAGTTTCGAGTTTTGCAGCCGGCCTCCCACGCGAAGTATATCCCTTTCATCGATAAAAGGGTGTAGCGGCAAAAGTTTACTTTTCGCGTGTAAATTTGACCCGGTTTTCAGATTTTGTAGATCTTGGGCGAAAGCCGATGCTTGGACTAATCTTATTATTTGATCGTTTGCCGATTGGAGCTCTTCGAATGTCAGAGGTCCTTTGTTCTTGTGAGGCTGTCTGAATCGTAAGCAATACGCGGTGATTCTAATTAACCGAGATATATCGGAATACCTGGTTAGGATTTCATCGGTATGGCTAATGGTAGCGAGACACTTGAGACGTTTCACCTCTGGCACATCTTCCGTGATGTCGAATTTCGATTTTGGCCATGTTGATTCGATGGTGGATAGCCATTCGGGTCCGTGCCGCCAGTTCGAATCGCGAAGAAATTGGGTTGGTGATTGTCCCCTTGATAGTAGATCAGCTGGGTTGTCTTGAGATCTCACGTGTCGCCAAGCAGCAATGTCTGTTTTGCCTTGTTCGTCGGCCACCCTATTGGCTACGAATGTTTTCAAGGTGCATGGTTCCTTCTAGATCCAGTTCAAGACGGTGGTAGAATCGGTCCAGAAGTTAACATGCTCGGTTTTGATGTGCATAGCCTCTCAGACTGTGACGTACAGTGATGCCAGAAGAACTGCACTGCACAGTTCTAGACGGGCGAGGCTCGCGGTTTTCAGCGGGGCGACACGTGATTTTGCGCAAAGCAATTTGCTGTCTATTTCTCCGCGGTTGTTGATTGAGCGCACGTATATGCATGCCCATACGCACGTTCGCTTGCGTCACAAAAGCCATGAAGTTCGAGCCTTTGAGTGGAAGGTTGACCGACGTTTCGATCAAACGAAATGTTATTTAACTGCCTGATTTTTTCTACGAATGCGATCCACTCCGTGTGAAGACTGGCTGGCAGCGATTTGTCTCAATTTAATTTCAACTGCCAGAAACGTTGCATGATTAATTTTGCTACGACAGTGACCGTGGCTAAGAGACCTAGCGGGTCGAAAATTCTTGCGATAGTCGACAAGATGGTCCGCTTCGTGATCTTCGTCGGAGCGTGGAAGTCGACGGCGTACGCGATTGAGTCGTTTCGCGCGCCCCATGAGATACCGAGCGTCTTCACCGTGGACTCGTCAAAGAATTTCGGATGGATCTGCTTCTTGTTTAAACCATCAAGAAGTTCAGGGTCGTTGGAGATCCATTGACGGATGTTGAATCGTCCGCGCTGGAGTAGATTCATGATTTCGTCGCGTAGATTCTTGGCCTCTTCATAGGTGTTCGCGCCGGTGAGGAGATCGTCGACATACAAGTCCCGCTTTATGATTGTAGCTGCTCATGGGAAGTCAGCTTGCTCGTCGTCCGCAAGCTGATGGATGCTTCGTA